GTCTTTGCTGGATTCCGCTGATATTCCGTTGCAGACCAGCGGCTGGACTGCAGGGTTGATGATGTTGTTAGTGGTTAAGAATGCATGCAGCTACAACTCTACACTAACCCGTCTATCCTCTGAGGGTAGGAAGGAGGAGAAATAGAAGAAAAGAAAGAAGAAAAAGAGTAAACAGAAAGAATCTGAATTCATTTTGCTCAAGGGATGGAAACAAGCAAAACATTAATTGGAAACTCACAATTAAGGACCATTGGAAGTTTAACCCCTGCACCCCAGACGTTAGTCATGTGTTAATTTAAAAGAAAACTTATTCGTTTCACTCACCAGCAACGACGGTAGAAACGAAATATTCCGGATACAGACGTAAAGTTGTCAATAAAACACGACGAGAGTGCGGCGTCCGGGTGGAAGCGACTGCGGAACTCCGGGTTCCCCGGAGCGTGTAGACGCGACAGGACACAACCTCACGGGTAAAAATGCGATCAAGATCATCCTCAGAGTTTCGGAACCACGTGAAAAGCTAAAATCCGACGCCGATGCCTTTCCCCTGAAACCAGACAATGTCCCATATAATGACAAGAATTTATATGTAGGGTCTGAAGCTCCATCAGTGGGCATTATTTCATATTAATGGAATATGGAGTCCTTAGTTCTGTGCTCCGGCAACATTTTCGGCGTCTCGTGATGTATGGCGTAACAGACTTCACGATGTAGGCGGCCATTATCCTCATCGCCGCGAAAACCTTAATTAAAGCTTGAACGAATGTCAAACTAGGCAACACGGAGTTTTCCTCTGTGGCATCCCAACAATTACTCCATTTACACACAGAAGAAGGCAATGGCAAATCACTTCTGGATCATCTGCCAAGAACGTATATGAACAGGTCCCAGTCCGAGAAAAGGATGGAAGGATCCTGTTCATATGGACCTGTCGTCAGACAGAACACTAAATAAATAAATAAAAATAACGAATGTCAAGTGGTTGTTACTGCTGACCTAGAAGTAGACGACGCATCTCCTTGTTTCAGACCATTTTAAATTGAAAATGAGTCAGACCAATGTTTCATAAATTTAACATTTTCAATGACTACACAGAAAGTGCTGAAAATATACTCTACTATATTTCTAACGATGACAAAATAAATCAACTTTCTAAATGATTTCAAAAGAGTAGAGCGCTCTAAAGTATGTTTCACGCATTACACAGCCTATATTTACGGGCACTGAAATTGAACTGATGGGCAGTATCGGAAGGTAATTGAAAATAGTAGTCCAGTGTATTTACCACGAGTCTCGAATTCAGTTCTGCCACATCATATCCTGTTGGATGATGTAAGTAGCATCTGGAAGTACCTGGCGGTACATGACGGCTGCAGGATACAAGCATACCACATAACACCATATTCTGGAAAACAAGTCACTGGTTTAAAATTCATGTTCAACGCAGGTTCATCGTAGAACAATACTTTGTTTTGATGGCTGCCACTTCTGAAATGCCTCGATCAAGCGAAGGATGTTCAAAATGTTTCTCCATATTTCGTTAAAAAAGATTTTCATACAAACAACAGCCCCACACTTTAGGAACCTCTGCTCTATACAGCACTACACATTCTAGCAGCTCGAATTCCATCACCACGTGAACGACGCCTACTCAGTCGCGTCCCTGGCAGACGTCTAATCCAAATCAGTGCGGACTTCTACGTACTCCATACGCAATATTCGGTCCACCTAACACCAAATTTTGAAGGTCCACAGCATTTCCTTTCGAAATTCATTCACGAGAAATGAAGTAAGGACGCGGGCTACGTTCCTCTGCTTCAGAATTTGGACCAGTCAGTTTTTGTAAACTCTGTAATAAAATTTCTGTTTTCATACACGAAGAGAAACGCTTCGACCAGTTAAACGACTGTCAGCTACACGATGACTACCGTATATGTTTACAACAAGAGAGACGGAAGAAATTTATCTGATGCTACAAGTTCGCGTGTCTATCACCGGACACGTAACGTCTCTGCGTTTGTCAGCAATTTCTCATTTTCCAATCTTTCTCTTCAAAACTTCTCAAATGATCTGTAACTTTTTCCTTTCTGTTTCCAACTCACGAAAGATTCATTTCGACGATATCGGTACCTTCGCAAAATCCCATTCCTCTCACATCCACGCAGACCACGTTTTACTCAGACACTACATCGCCGTCGAGACATACTAATTTTTAATTTCCCACAGAACACTATCAAAGTCATTATAATTTTTAATCAACCTTGAAATAATATATCACCGTACTCAATGGTGCCTCATCATTTCAGACGTCTCGTGCCAGAGACGTCACAGAGCAGCGTCCAACAGCGAGACGTGGATCCCAGCATCCTGTAGAAAAATCTTGCTTCCGCCTGCAAAGCTCGATTCAGGTTCAGAGGGTTCACGACGGTGATGACGAATAATGATGACATCATAATCACCGTGACAGGCGAATGTAAGAGGCCGTACCAATCACCTCAAAGCAGACATAATGACAAGAATTTATAATTACGTCGCTTCTGTATGTACGGTCTGAAACTCGATCAGTGGGCATTATCTGATAATTTCTCATTGTACTCGCCGGAGTCCTTAGTTCGCAACATAATTTTCAGCTTGTCGTGTTGCATGGCGTAAGCGACCTCACGATGTAAGCTGCCATTATCCTCAACGCTGCGAAAAAACCTCAAGTCTTCAACGAGTGTGACGTGGTTGTTACCACTGACCTAGAAGGAGACGGAATTCTCTACTTAATCTGCGTGGGCAGTATCACAGAACAATCAAAATATGAAATAGAATAATATCTCAGCGTACTCACTGGAGTCTGCAGCTCACAGCCATGCCTTTGTTTCGGGCATCTCGTGTTGTATGACGTAAGCAGGGCCAGGATGCAATGGCCGCGGCTCCACGAGTTCCCTGGCTCCTCTGGACTCAACGGACAAGAGGTCGCCTTCAGGAGGTTGGCATTTGACGTGCACGGCCAACCCTTGATGTGCGTTCAAAACCCACACGAATGTCGAGAGGTTGTACAAACTGCCTGAAACAAACAAGAAAGCCAGTCTGCAGTGGGACGACCTTCAAATGCCTTCAAATTCTAATAGAAACCAATGCAATGGAAAACAATATCTCAGAATACTTAGTTCAGTGTTGCAACGTCATTTCAGGCATCTCGTCTTCTCTGACGTAGGCCAAGTCACGTTGTATCGGTAACAGCACGCAATATAAGTTTTTTTTTTCTCTCAACGTACTTTCAGAACTCTCTACTTCAGAGGACGGAAAATTTCATGCTACTCGCCTTGTATGACTTAAGCGGGTTCGCGTTGTACAAGACGTAGCACCCACACGAGGATGAGATCACGACGTACTTGCCCCTGTCGGCTCTGGCAATGTATACTTTCGCATGTGCGTCTCACAGTCCTAGAGAAAAATATATGCACGATCTTTTACCACCCCACTCCACTCCATGGAAAAGCGACGTAAGGCACCTATAAAATCGCCAGACAGAAATGCGACCATGTTAAATCTGTATTGAATTGAATTGAATTATAATCTTCGATGATAAGGTCAAATCCAGGAATCAATCTTAATCAATATTACAATTTTCATCGATTTGTGCTTACATTACACATTAAGTGAATAGCAAAACAGGTGGAAATCCACACAATAACAATTTATTATTTTCGCTTCAGATTCCAAGATTAAATTTTCAATGGTACAAGGGTGTAAGTCGAATAAAATCTAACTCAACGATTTTTGTAATTTCTAGAGAAAATCGGTTAGTATTTTCACTATCACGAAATCGCCTGCATTCTTTAGAGCCTCGTACTACCACCACGAAAGCTTCAACAACTCTTTGGCTTTCGAATAGATCGAGAATTCAATCAAACACAAGCTGAGACGTAATATCAAAATGGCCGACTGAAGCCCCAACTTACGTAAAGACTGCATACATACGCGCTGTACCGGAGCAGGAGACAGACAACCGGAAAAAAACCTCAACATGTCCGTAGGAAACAGGTTTCGCGGAGCACGCTGGGAAAGCCAAGATGAAAAACTCATCCAACGCGTGTCGGCAGAGATAACTAAGGGGCAGATAAAATTATACGTCCAGTAATAAAACACTAAAAGCGAAAATA